ACTGGTCATAAATATACACTGTTTCCACAACCCATGTTAACTTGTCACTTTAACCTATTCCGCACTTTATAACTTAGATGATGACCAAATATGTATATATGCTGACAGTTATTTTACTCTTATTTGTATTCATCTCCTATTTTCATAGTCTTTTATTATTACGATCATTATTTCCTTGATTTTATGTTATTTATTATTATTTATTTTAGATTTTATTGATCTGTGTGAATCTTTGCTGTAACTGAATTTCCCCTCGGGGATTAATAAAGGTTCATCTTATCTTATCTTATCTTATCAACGTTATCTCATTAATGATGAGCGCTTGCTTAAGTTGGTATTTATTTTAAGTTATAGTCCTTTTTTTTGCACTTCCACTGTTTTTCGTGCTGAGATATGACAGAAAGTTCCAAACTAAGTCGGTATTTTTACTAAAAAGACTGCAGTAAATAATTAATCAATTAAATTGGAACACACACTTTACTTGACTGACTCACTTAAACCTGAAATTAACTTCAGATGAAATTCAAAGTAAATTTTTGCAAGGTCGAGGTATATAAATTGTGTTTCCCATCATTTACATTGAAATTACTTTAAGAGTATTTGTTTAGCAGGCAGTATGGACTGAGGCGAGGTCCGATAACAAAGACCACCAAGTACATACATTTGAATGTGCATACTTACATGTGGATTATTGAAGGACTTGAAAGAATGTGAAACTAGCCTGAATGTGTGGAAGTGCTGTGACATTTTCAGCCAGACACCTCTCTGAACAACTCAACTCAGCGAAGATTTAAAAAGACATGTTCGACTTCTGCTCCCTGAGAAAGGATGAGCTGACATCTGTGAGATCAGGTGTGAAAATCCTTCGTGCACTTTATAGAAAAAGGAACAAATAATGAACCTCCATCGGCTCACTGAAGGCTTCATGGAGTTCTTCACTCTCACCATTAGACGTCACTGTTTCCTTGTTATTCGTCTCATGATGAACCTCCTTAAAGGTGGGGTAGGTAATTCACTTCACAAACACTTTTTGTTATATTCCATGGAATGCTCTTATCATCCCGATAGCAATGAATATATGAAATGCTTTGACAATAAATACATTAAAAAATGCATCTGTGGAAGCCGTGGTACTGTAAAAAGCACGACCAATCATCTGAGCCGGCCCGGCTAAAGTAACTGGATGGCCTACCTGCCTGTCAGCCTTCTGTGTGTTGGAGGAGGGGCTCTGGAAGGAAGGGGAAGATTTTTTTCCAGGGTTGCGTTCCGATAATCCAAAAATCAGCTCCTAAATTCTAACCCTATCTCCTATTCCTTGACCTCTGAGTGAAACATCACGGGGTTAAGGGATAGTGGATAGGAGAATTCAAAAGGACTTAGGAGAAGAGACCGCAGTACTTTAAGAATCCGACTGCACTTTCACTATCCGACGTGTTTATGATGCGCCAGCGGACGTCATGAATGTGCGTCTGCTGCTGTGGGGGGGGGGGGAACTCATAGATATATATAAACACGGAAAGCGGACTACAACATGGATGTTTAATAAGAACGAGGGACTACTGTAAACTCATCTAGAGCTGCACCGTGCTCTGACGCTGTTGCTTTATGCTTTATGAACGGGGACAACAGAGAAACATATTCTTCATGACCAAAGTTGGAATTTAAATAAAAAAGGAAAGTGAAACTTATGCTCGTCACCCTCTCCCTCCGGTCCACATTAATACAAATGATCCCAATACGTATGATTGTATGAACTATGAACATGTCTTAAAATCAATACAAATGTATTTATTATAAACGTTAGTCCTTAACATCTATCACTGTGTACATCACCATTCAAGCATCTTTTAAAAGTTGAACAAACTCCACACAGCTCAGTAAAGACTGTGAAATGTTGACTTTATTTGATCATTTCAGTAAAAACTAACGTTCATATTTCTCTTTTTGATTATAATACTGATGAACGTTCAGAAAAAAGCACTTTGGCAACTTACCACATACGTTTTAAAATGCTTAAGGCGAGACACCCCAGGTGAATAGGGTAATTTTTTTTAACTTAAAGGTATCAGCTAGAAATTTCTCCAGTTAATTACTTACAATAAGGCAATTGTCTTTTGTATTACAAGTTTTCTGAAATAGCATGTTTAAATATGCAAATTATCCATTATCTCATTAAATATGCACATATTTTAACACATTTCAGGAATCAAAATCTGAACTTTGGATATAGCCAGATTCAAAATTATTGTTTCATTTTGTAGTCATATTAGTATCTAAGGCTTTTACAGAAGGGATATTGGATATCTCTTTTTATCATTCCATAAATCAGAAAATACTGTCAACAGCCCTAAAATATCAATTTTCGCCATGTTTTTAGGTATACAATGTTGTATAATTCAGGCTATGAATTATATATGAACAAACCCTTCTGTAAAAGCCTTCATAATATTGATAGGAATATAACTGGAAGGTTTGGTGTATCTACGTGCTACTGAAGTTGAAATTTCGAACTCAGAGTAGGAGAAAAAACTCATTTTGAGAAAACGACCTTTAAAGATTGCAGTGAGGCGCTAGCTAAACCCTCCTGTACGTTGGATGACAGCTTGCGCATCAACGCACTCCGTGAAGGTATTTCATGTTCAGGGTCATTTTTTTTTTTTATAACCTTGCTTCGTGCAAGTGACAATTGTTGTCGTCTTCTCTGTGAACGTTTTTTTCGCCGTTCTTTTGGCATTTTGAGATTTCAATTTCTAGCTGAAAGCTAACCAGGAAGTGTTTTAGCACACCACGTGACGCATCTGAACGAATCACGTTGTCAGAAATTGACACCAGCCAATGAGATTTCGTTTCTTGGTTTAAGACCCCTTTGTGCTTTCACGATTGGTTTCTGATACAAAGGAAATGACCCTATTTGGATCCGATGCGATTGTGCAGGAGAGACACAGCTTTCCAGCGATACCTCTGATGACATGCTGCACACAGCGGTCGCGGTACTTTATGTTACGTTAGAATGCTAACTTTTGGTGAATTTAGGAGAAATCTACAGACGCAAATAGACAAACTATAGTAAAATAAACACTTAAATGTGTATTTTGTACGTTTTCCTTCCAAAAGCCTGAAAGAAAACATGTTATGGAATCAAAATAGCACAAAATCTCAAAATTGACCAGTACTTGAAAAACGATGTTTTTGCCTGCCGTGTCTCGCCTTAATAAGCACCGTAACTTTCATGATATCATTTCTCCGTCATAATCGGTTGTTTCCGTGAACGGCCGACTGTTGTGTGACGGCAAATGCTGCGGCTGCAAGGCATTGTGGGGCAGCACTTTCTCCTCTCCTTTCGGTTAGGGAGGTCCAGTGGTTCCTAAGCTAAAGGAGGTTATAAAGGAAGTTTGAAACCTCCTTTCCTTTCATTTGGAGAATTGAAACGGCACTTATCATGGCTGCCAGCAGGGCCGGACTGGGAAAATAAGTCAGGCCGGGAATTATACACCCAGCCAGGCCACTACCAGTTTTCTTTTGTGCCATTTTTCTGGATTTATTTGTCAATATTTACAGCGTTGCTGCCCGTAGTGATAGCCCTAAACTTTAAATCTACTACCCAGAATAAACATATGTTAAAATAATGTGCAAATCTATTTAGGAACCTATGTGAACATATTTTAAGTAGGGGTGGACCTCAAATCCTATAGGGGGGTCCGGGGGCATGCCCCCCCGGTAAGATTTGTTTTTTTTTAAATGTTGAACTTAAATGCATCAATCTGGTGCACTTTGAGGGGGAAATAAAGAGACTACACCCATATGAAACAGAACTGTATACATTTCAATAATCATAAAATCATAAGAACATGGCCATAACCAATAACACCATATCCAATATGAAAAAACATTGAAACTTGTTTATTTATTTGTTTTTGGTTCATTTATAGTTGCGAGTGTGTCTGTGCTCCTGAACCAGCCTCTCCTGTCTCCCCCCTCTCTCCTGTCTCCCTCCTCTCCCCCTGCTCCTCTTTGAGGCAGCAGCAAAGACTAGTTTGAGCTAACAAGTTTATCTTACCTTTTTTCACCTAGTTAAAACGTTTTTTTTATTATTCATCCATATTTTACTAATCACTCCCCCTTCAAATGGAAATATGTGTTTACATAAATGGTGACCAAACCGTTTGAGACCCACAGAGAACTTAGACTAAGTTAACTATCTAAACACTCAGAGTCCTTTACCTCACCTGAGCTGTAGTTATCAGTCTCTCAGTCTGACAGCAGAGGACTCTCCTCCACCTTGTTGCCAGCTCATGATATGCGTTACCGCAGCTAGCTAGCACCAGATGCTAACAACAACAATACAAGTAACCGGTGCACGCGCTTTCTCTATCGCTCTCGCGCCACACATACAAACCCTCCCGAGCTTGAATGACACACAGAGACCAATCGAGGGCATTAGTGTGATCTGTATGAAAGTGGCCATGTCGGCAGGCCACATCATGAAGACAGCCAGTCACCCTCTGTGAGGCAGAGTCAGACCCACATTTGCGCAGCGTTGCGTTCACAATACATACATAAAAAAAGAACCCTCAGGCCAGCAGGCCATTTAGCAGGCCAGGCCATCGGGAAACCTCCCGGTCCTCCCGATGGCCAGTCCGGGCCTGGCTGCCAGTGACGTACTTCCGGGTCATTTCACTTCCTTAGGAAGGTTCCTAAGCTAAATGGACTATTGGAATGCAACCCAGTTGTGTATTTTCTAATTCTAGCGCACTCGAGCTGGTTTCTCCATTCTTACCTAACCTACCTTTGATTAACATGACCATTATTACACACAGTGTGCTTTAAGGAGATCATGAACAATGGAATCAACACTTTTTACATTACAAATACTGAAAACAAATGTAAAAAATGCTAACTAGAGATCAACATATTAATAAGTCTGGCATCAAAAAAGTAGCTGCTAACCTAGCACAGTGTTCAGAAAAAAGTGTTCAGACATAATATTAGAAAGACAGTTGTAAAAAGTCGATTTTTAATATCATTTTTAAAAAAAAGTTATTTGAAGCTAAAAATAAAGCATACATTTTGACAAAATTAGCATGAAATAATAAAAACATGTCATTATATAACAAATCCATCAGTCTCAAACATTAAAGATGTTGCTGTATACAAATATTAAAATATCTTTATAAACACTGTTTACGAGTACATTTTTGTATAATTTTAAAAACAAAGGGTTTCTCAACAGTGGAACACTATCTGTCTCCATTTCTGTTAAGAAAATAGAATAATAACATTATCTTTTAATAGATTTTTCTGAAGAATCCCAAACTGCTTAATTGTTTCCTCTCTGAAGAAGTGCTTTGTGAGGACAGTGGATGCATCTTTGTAACATAATAACCCTTCAACACAATAACATTCAGTCTCTTGCTACAGACGTCCCTCCTTCAGTCGTTGTCTCTGGTTTTGATCGAGGAGCATCCCGAGCACCCGCTGAGTTTATTCTCCTTGACGTTGTAGTCGAAGTGCGGCAGAACCAGGACGCTGCCTTCAGGTTCAGTTTTCCCCGCTGAGGCTTTCTCATCCTCCGCTTTCATGATGTTCTTCACCAAACAAGTGATGGCGGCGTCAATGTTGGTGTTGTCCTGCAGAGAGATGGGGGAGGTGAAGGGTTAAAGGGACCATTTGATGCTTATTTTGTTGTGTCTCGTCAAATATGTTAGTTGTGTTTATGTATTTTGTCTGTCATTTCCTGTTTTATTTTGTACTTACCTCTTGTCTTTCATTTCAGGCCCTGTTTCTTCCTCCCCCTGTGTGTTTTTCCCGCTATCATCAGAGTCTGCCCCGCCCCTGATTGTTTCCACCTGTTCCCACTCACCTCATGTTTAAATAGTCCTGCCTCTCCCCTGTCCTGTGTCACTTCGTCTTGTTTGTTTCCCCGAATGGTCGTGCCAAGCCTCGGCTCTGAAAGGATCGCTTTCTCTCATGTCAGGTTTTGTTATTTTGTTGGCTTAAGTTTTTATTAAGTCCTCTTTTTGTTATGCTAGTTTTTTCCTCCTTGTGAGCGCCTTTTGTTATTTCCACCACCTACTCTGTTAAAATAGATATACTTTTTTTATATATTCAAGACTTTGTCTCTGGGTCGTGCATTTGGGTTCATCAGTTTGTGTCGATGTCCTGACATATTTTCAGGTTAATATCAGTATGTAGTGTCTCTACTTTAAAGAGTCCTCTCCTGCTGATGTTCAGGTGTATATCAGTATGTAGTGTCTCTACTTTAAAGAGTCCTCTCCTGCTGATGTTCAGGTGTATATCAGTATGTAGTGTCTCTACTTTAAAGAGTCCTCTCCTGCTGACGTTCAGGTGTATATCAGTATGTAGTGTCTCTACTTTAAAGAGTCCTCTCCTGCTGATGTCCAGGTGTATATCAGTATGTAGTGTCTCTACTTTAAAGAGTCCTCTCCTGCTGATGTCCAGGTGTATATCAGTATGTAGTGTCTCTACTTTAAAGAGTCCTCTCCTGCTGATGTCCAGGTGTATATCAGTATGTAGTGTCTCTACTTTAAAGAGTCCTCTCCTGCTGATGTCCAGGTGTATATCAGTATGTAGTGCCTCTACTTTAAAGAGTCCTCTCCTGCTGATGTTCAGGTGTATATCAGTATGTAGTGCCTCTACTTTAAAGAGTCCTCTCCTGCTGATGTTCAGGTGTATATCAGTATGTAGTGTCTCTACTTTAAAGAGTCCTCTCCTGCTGATGTTCAGGTGTATATCAGTATGTAGTGTCTCTACTTTAAAGAGTCCTCTCCTGCTGATGTTCAGGTGTATATCAGTATGTAGTGTCTCCATGCTTTAATGTTCAAAAAGCTCTTAATTTTTCTCATACTGTCTGTGCTGCAGCACCTATTTTCACCCTCTGTCTGAAACCAGAGCCCAGTCTGCTCTGATTTGTTAGCTGGCTGGCTCTGTTGTGATTGGTCAACCGCTTAGAGATGTCCCGCCCCTTAGCCTATCACGTACAATGTGTTGGAGTGCAAGCCAATAGCTAAGTCATTGAAATTATTTGATGCTTTTTATTGATTTATCTAAAATGTTGAGCCCATTTGCAGTAGATACTGTATAACCAACTAGCTTTGTAAAATACCAACAAATATTAGGTTATTATAAGATGTGTTCAGGTTTATTAGTTGTATTAATTCCCCTTAAACAAGTCTTCTCTGTGACGAAGAAGTTTGAGGCTTTAAAGGTTTTACCATGCGCTCCATAAAAAGCTTCAATCTTGTGGCTCCAAATATAAATACATTGAAGATAAAAAAAATATCAAATAGAACATTTGCAGAAAAGTAAATTCCTTGTCCACCATTTAACTTCACTAACAGTCTCTGGGTTTGAATTGAATTCCCGGTTTAGTGTTGCTAATTTTATTTGCAGCATGTCAACATGTTACAGGGCATCGGCATCTACGAGAGGGAGCCGCTTGTATTTTGAAGACATTACCAATTAATAAGAGTAAATGGCTGTTATGTGACCTTGCATGACTTTGAAATTGGTCATAATAAAGCAAGTTGATCTTAGGTTAAGGGACAACTCTTGGCTTTCTTTCTGAAGTTGTTGTGTGCTTATTCCTGTGTGCGGAGACAGGCTGGCATGGTGACTTTTGCACACAACACTTAAAATGATCTTAATTAGAAAATACTCTGTTGTGAAATGTGTTTACAAAGAGAAAAGCCAAGAGCAATAGAGACTTATTTCAGGTTGAATCAATATTTGTAGGATATGTTACCTTGGCGGAGGTTTCGTACCAGCCCACGAAGCCGTACTCTCTGGAGAACTTCTCCATTTTGGGCAGCTTGGGGCACAGACCCTGACTCCTCTGGTCCGACTTGTTGGCCAATAGGACGACAGGAACCGGCGTTCCGTTGGTCAGGGCGACCTATAGGAAGAAAGGTGTGTTAAACAGAGGGGGAAAGTAACAAAGTACATGTACTGTGGTATTTAAGTGAGGTGCAAGTTACTCAAAATATACTTTGGTATTTCTGTTTTAGCTACTTTCTACTTCTACTCCACTACATTATGTTTAATAATAACTTAAGTCACTTGCATTTTAATTCAATCTATATTCATCCAATAGATTACAATGTATTATTATGGGTTAAGTTGAATTTTAGTAGAAATAATTAACATATAAATGCATACGTTTATTATAATGGAGTGATCGATATAAGTAATTATAATAGCTTGTTTTTATTTTAAATATAGTTCAGTGCCAATCATTTTGTAATTTTCCTATTTTTACTTTTGTTAAAGATTTAGAGGGGTTTTAAATATAATTATTTGTTGAGTATTTGTCAATAGTTTTCCAAAGATCTGAGTATTTCTTTAACCACTAATATAAACCAACTGGCAGTCTGGTATCTGAACACTTGTTGACACTTTGTTGGTCATTTGAGAGCAGGGTGATAAACCTGGAAATGCTTGACTGTCTGAGTTGATAAAGAGCCCCTGAATGCACCATTAGTGTTGGTCTTTGTGAGGCTGGACTGTTTTTATTGAGAAAGGGGAGGTCATGTTTATTTTTACACGACTATTTAACATGTTTACTGTTGAATTTGTAAGAAGGAGACAATCAAGTCAGGTAAGGGGAAGTGACTTGAGACCCAGAAAGAAAAAGGTTTCAAATATCCTTTTTTTTTTTAGATCACACAAGTCTTTAGGGTGTTATAAACATAATGACTAACAAAAACTAAGAATATATATTCTTTTTGTTTTATTTTGTGTCCTCTGTAGAGGACATCAGGTGTTAGTTATGCGAAGCATAGTATACAAACAACATTAACATACAAGTACATTTAGACAACATTAGAGCACAACAACTCAATGCAACAAATATTGAGCCGTCATTTGTAACACTCCATCCTTTTTTTAATTGCAGATACATCTGGCACTTGATATATGTTTTCCCACTGCATGCGTCTGCCATGAACCCTACAGAAACCTACATGTTCGTTTTGGCCCATAGTGGACTCCATTTGTGTTGTGTAAAATGGGGGGAAATAAAAAGTTAGCAAATCCCCATGTCCTCCTCAGAGGACAGTCATAAAAACATTTAGTTTTAGGTCAAATCATTATTACACTGCTCTGAAACTCACTACACTAACTCCTAAGATGTTCCCTTACTATAATTAATTAAAACATTGACCTCACAACACTGGTAATTACAAACTTACCATTTATCTTTCTATAAATAGAGCTTGTGTTGATGGACGCCATTTTGAAATACAATGAAATTATCTTTTTCAAAGCCACACCCCCACATATGTCACATGTCTGAAAAGCCCAGCATGTCCTCTGTGGAGTACAATTGGACTTAATGCTGTGGCAAGTATAACCTCAGTTATGGACCAAAACCAAATGTCCTCCACAGAGGACAAAAATGAATGAGTGGGTCTCAGGAGTTCAAAGTTCAATTGACTTTTACCATTTGGGATGAAATGCATAGGAAAAACACAACTGTAGGTAATGTAAAAAAAAAATCCAACACAAGCTTCCTGTTGCAGATTACAATGCAGTAAAACTAGTTCTTGCTTTGTCTGTGACTTCCTGGTTTATTGGCTAGTCATGAAGCAGAAGTACAAGAAGAGCGGAGAGAAGATGCTGAAACAAAACGGCACATTCAGTGTTAAAAGAAAGGAACATTGCACCAAGATGTGTTTGTTAATCAAACACCTCAGAGTTCTTCACAAAGGAAGGTGAATGTTTGATAAACACAGATATTTCAAGAAAGTTTCCTTAAATGATGTTTCAGCTTATCAGAAGGCTTAAAAACCTTTTTGTATTATTCTGTATCTGTGTGTAAAGCAGAATATGGGAAAATATAAAAAGCAGGATGGTTTGCACACGTTCCTGTTCATCTAGTTCTTTTTTTAATATATTTGCCCAGAGGTATCCCAGCCTGGAAAAAGTGAACCACGTCAAAATGTAGGTAGTGCAAACATAAGAGGAAAAACCACGAAATTGTAAGTTAATTTGAATAAATGTTTTTGGGAACTGGTGACATTTCAGCAATATTCCTTTTTTGTTGTTTTTTTTCACATTTTGAATTGAATTGTGTCTTTTCACTGTTAATTAGTAATTGTATTGGAACACAATTTTAAAGTTAACAAAAATAAACTGCCTATTTACCTTTGAGTCCAGGTCTCCTTTCCACTTGAGGACAGCCTGAAACGTGGACAGTCGGGTCATGTCGAAAACGACGAGGGCCCCGACCGCCTCCTTGTAGTACACCCGGGTCATGTGGCCATAGCGTTCCTGCCCTAATAAAGAAGTAGAAGAAGAACGATGACACAATAATTACTTGAGAAAAGGCATCTTTTGTTGCGTGCAAGTATGTGTATGGCCACATGTGTGTATATAACTGAATAAGCCTCTATCCTGCTGCCTAACTTCCTTCACATGATCCCAATAGAGTGGTGAATCAGCAAGTGAGCATCTGATACGCACATGACCTACGCAGCAAAACACAGCTGATATAAAAAAAAACAGCGTCTGACTTGCATGCCTAGCAGATGTTATCTTTTTCTGAGAGAGTGTAATTAGACTCTTAATGATGCTATTTGATCACTATGGCATATGGTTTTGCTTTTGTGGCTCCACACACTTTGTAAAGACATGAGGTTGGTCCAAACACCTATAAACCAACAAAATGAAAGTTCATACCAGGTCTAAGTGTGTTTTCTAGATCAAATAACTTCTTGCATCAAAACATTGGGATTAGCCTATTTTATTAGCAACAAGTTTAAGCATAAAATACATAGATTCTACACCATCTGCCCCACTAGCTGAACACACAATAAAACAACTAATAATTGTTGTACTTAGGGTTTTGTCCACCGTGAGTTTTAAAGCGCTCAATCTTATCTTTTGGTTTACTGTAAAGTTGTGGTTCAAATACATGTCTTTTTATAGAGATTGTCTTTTTATAAAAACATGTAAATATGGAGTATACTGTCAGAATGTGCCACTACAAGCTTATTGTCTTTCATTTAACTTCACCCGAATAAACATCCAAACACAAAACAATGACTTTAAAGCAGGAGAATAATGTACCACTGTTTAAACGCCTGCTATGCAAGGACTTCAGTGTGAATTCATTACTGGTCTAAAGTCCAGCAGATGGAAGTCTTTATGTAAATGAATGTTTCTTATCAGCGGGCATGTTCAACACCCAGACAGTCAGCAAGTGTGTGAAACAGCTGTGAGACGAGAGGGAGAGAGAACATCTAATTACATGCAATTATGGAGGAATGGTGGGTTTGATAAGCACAAGTAGCTTTTCTTTAAAAATGGCTATGGTAATTGTTTACTGGAGGGTAGAGTTAAAAAAGAAATGTTCTGCAGAAACTGAGGTTAACCACATTTGGTAGGCGGTCTCTTTTCATCGTTGGGTGATGTCAGCAAGATGCAGCCAGCTTGTGAGAAAATGCAGTTTACTTGATGTGTGTTTGTGTTCTAGGTTGAATTGTACCGGTACAGTTCAATGTTGATACTCGATTAACCACAACGGGACAAAAGAAGCATTAATGATGTGACAAAGCTTTAATTTAGGACAATTATAAATGCATTTTGACGAGTGAGGATCAGCTTTGCTTGCCATTTAGTTGCTGCGCCTATAGTCCAAATAAAAAACCACTTTCATACAGAACAATGCTGGCAAGTTGTGACAGCATTTTAAAAAATACATGTACCAATTACTGACTAAATAATTAATCTGTTCGTCAAAAATAAACTTGTGCAAAAATACATCTTAAATGGTTCAAATCCTGTAAAAAAATGCACTTATTTACAATTTATGCAACTACAAGTATTATTTACAAAGCAGAAGCATGCTGCATGCTGATAAGTCAACTTTACGAGTGGTAAATAACAGTGTATTATTCTCTTAATTCAGTTATATTTAACCATGATACCATTTTATTAAACTTGACCCAACCTTACACTAAGTTTGGATATTGGTATATGCCCTGAAACGGTTTGAGCATGCAAATAGACTGTGAATACAAGCTATTATTTAAATACATGTGTTTTTCTGGCTAGTTAAACACACAATCCTAGCATTACATCTCACTTGCAGACACACGGTCATCTTTACGCACCAGCGATGTCCCACAGCTGCAGCCGAAGCACCGTCCCCTGGTCCCAAGTCAGCAGCTTCAGGGCGAAGTCCACCCCGATGGTGGCGCGGTAATGCTGGGAGAACACCTGGTGCACGTAGCGCTTTATGATGGACGTTTTACCGACTCCTAGATCTCCGATGACCAGGACTTTGAGCAGGCGCTCGTGCTGCATTACTGCTCCGGGCGAGGACGCGCGCTGAGTGGGATGGCACGGTGATGTCTCCAATTATAGGACTCGCATGAAGGTGGGTTTGGCCACTGAGAGGCAGAATACTGTAGTGGATGCTGCAAAACTGAGTAATACGTGCAATATTTGACGCCGGAAAGAAAACTAAGCTTTAAAAAGGAACTATTTTGCAGAAATAATATTAGAAATAAAAATGTTGAGAGGACATATATCCATAAATGTATCTGAAAGTCGCTTTTATCAGAGTCTTGGGTCCTACAGATGCAAAAACCTGTAAAATGTGGTTCAAGGTGTCGTTTTGTCATCGTACAGTCCAAGCAAATCGTCAAGTGACATTGCAAAAAGTGCAAAAAAGTTCAAGAGAAAAAAGGAGAAGTTGCTGTCGTGTCCTGTCCAAGTGAAAGATAAATACTTCAGTGTTATCTGCTCAGCCTGCGGTCTGTGTGCACATCTCCTGCTGTTTGGTTTGCTGCCATGAGCAAACTGTGCTGAGAGACTGACAGCTGCAGAGAGAACGACCACACCCCCAAAACCCATAGTGTGAGTCTGCGTTTCAGGGTCTGCTGATATTACAAAACAAAGAAAAGAAACTATTGTAAAAAAAAATGAACGAGAAAGACTAGCCTATATCTTGACTGGACATCAAATGTTTCTTGGAAATGTCTGATATTGCACAAAGGCTATCCAGAATTTGGATTAGCATATTAATTGAAAAATAATACAACCTAACATGCAGTAGCATTTAAACGTGTACTTGTTTAACCTAAAATATTCCAAATCTGACCTTCGTGTAGAAAATACAACAAACTCACATGTAGTTCAGGGCGATATGAGAAGAAACTACAACTCCCAGCTTGCAACTCGTCCAGTTCCGTGTCTGCGCACTGAGATATGCGCACACTGACAGCGCACGGGAGCAATGAGTGTGCAGCTCTGGTTTTACTGAAGTATACACACGTAAAAAAAACATTATAATAATAATTTACCAAAGTAAAGCTTCAATGAGTTTAATGTTCTTTTTATTTACTTATTTAAAGATATATTCACATTTAACCCTTGCCATTATGTCCCTAACATCAAACTGCACCAATGTATTTTGTTAATCCAATTATTACTGACAAAAACGAATAATAATAGCCTACTGATAAACCGTCCACAATATTCCTTATTTTAACATTCCTTAAGTAGGCCTATATGTCTGAGAGTTCTCTCTCCCTCCAAACTCTACACACGACCACAGTGGACAGTGCATGGTTTTCCTTCAGTGTTGCGCCTCTGCACGGTGCTTTACGGCAGTGGTACTGATGCGGGATGAGTCAGGCTATATGATGCTGCTTCTGCTGCCATTTCATCAGCAGCGAAACGCTACAAACACACAGCAAACACACAAGTGATACCGCGGGATTCCCCTCTGACAGCCCCCCCAAAACACCCCTGCTCCCCGGCGTGGAAACGCGCATTTCTGGGTGGTTTAGCAGCGAAAGCGCAAGATCCGGTTTTTATTGCACCTGCTCTGGATGCGTTTTTCTTTCTCAAGCTCTCGATCGGGCCTGACATCAACAAGGAAATCAGTGCCGACCCCAGGGCCTGCTGTGCACGAGCGTCTGTGTGCAGGATCAGAGACAAACATCGAGCTTTTGGAGGAGTTTGTGCAAGTAATCGGTGCCATGGAGTCCACACCAGCCTCCTGAAAAGCGCAAAGGGAACAGAAGAGGAACCGAGTCCACTCCTGCTGCAAGTAGGCTGCTTTCTTTTGACCATTAAAGGCATATATGTATCTTATTTATCATGCTATTAAGCCTAAAAGTGATCTTAAGAAAGCACATAGGCCTGTCTTCTGCTATTATGTGCACTGGTCTAATAATAGCCTGCAGACTGTCTGTGCTAGTAGACTCTTTATTAGATTAATATATTTAGACAGGCCTCCACACTTTGTAGATTGTACGTTTTACTTCTTTTAAATGGTTAATTGTTTTGGCTATTATTTTATTCTTGTTTATTTTATTTGTTACCTTTTTTGTTGTTGTATTTGCACTTTGGTCTGGAGGTTTTAAAGTGCTTTACAAATAAAGCTGTATAAAAAAAAGGTTTTGGAAACAGCACAATATGATTCAATCTCAGCTTGTATAAAGCCCCACATGGAGATACTGCTCATGATGGGACAGGGTTTTGGGACCTTTAAATGTGGGATATGTGATACCCTCTGTGGCGGGGTGGACCTCTAAATCACCCCCGACATCACTTCCGGTGTGAGAGCCCCCGGGCTGCAGCTCTCTGGGGATTCAGCTCTGATGTTTGCATACCGACCGAGCTACGCAACCAGAGAGAGAGAGAGGGGGGGGGGAGGAGAGAGAGAGATAGAGATATATAATAGGTACACAAATGACACTTACACTTTACCCTTACTGTACGTTGAGGTTTGTAACGACATTTTCCTTAATATTGCAGAGGAACACTCAGGAAGGCTGTGAGAGACTATTTTGCAAAAATGATGCTACTGACATAAGCAAAACGGTTAATTCAAAAAAGATTCAATTCTGCCCAGCCTATCTCTCGATAGACCTTTTAACTACAGAGAGTTAATGAGCATATTGGGGGAGGCGTAAACATCTGTGGAGCTTAGAAAGCCAGCGTTCTCACAGTCGTAAACCATTTCGTGACCGAGAGTTGAACTGGTTTATCAAGATAGCTGTAGCCTCCCATTCCTTAAGAGAGATAATAGAGCCAGGGTTTGGTCGTAAACGTCAACACACAGAATAGGTTAAATATCTAAAGTAAAGACAGAAATATTCTTTGACACAAACTTGAGTTAAAAGTGCAATATTCCCTTTCAAAATGAAGCTAAATTAATACAACTAAAAGTACAAAGACTTAAAAATGGTGTCTGTTTGGAAGTGTGGTACTAAAATCCTGGCAGACATAAAAAAGTGCTCCTATGATCCCTCTATGTAAAATCAAAAGCTAGCAGTATATATGATACTATAGGTCTTTCTAATTATTCAGAAGGTCACACAGTGAAATGCCAAAGCCTCGTATAAAGCAGGGCATTAGGCAGCGGCCAATAATCCAGAAATCAGGCTTATTCAAATATCACTTGACGCCATCGAGTGAGGGGAAAAGCACAAGAGGATTTTCTCTCTACTCGTGGCTTTGATTGAATCACCCACCGAACACAATGAAGCAGTTCTGTGTGTGGAGTGGGCAACGAGCCAATCAAAGGGTCAGAGATCAGACAGTGAAGGCTGGGAATATATTGCAATTACATTCATTTGAGGTGTTTGTGCTCAATAATAGAGTCCTTCATGTTATCGAAAGATAAGTTATGAAGAAGACCTTTTTTGAAGTACTATACATTGATAGCGCAGAATAAGTCATGTTATCTAAGATATGTTTAGTACCTAAAGCATAGTCTCTTAATGATGATACTGCTATTATACAACGGTTAAAGGATTTAGATATATCCTAAGAGGAGTACAAAAAGTAGTCTTAATGAAAATTGCCACCTTCACAACAGTATAGGCAATATTATACTACTGGATGCATTACATTAATTTATTATTGCCTCCAGCAGATGTGGGGTTAATTTGTATGTCTCTATGAACAGCTGAAGATCTAAACCCATATTATGACATGGTAATTTAGCCTATTAACAGAATTCAGACTTTTTTCTCAGAACAAACAAAAAAAATTCTTCACATCCCCACGTTTCCCCCCGCAAGGTTATTAGTATCCACAACTGGCCTAGGGTATATTTTAGAGACATAATCTAATGATCTCTCTCTGTTTGCAGACGCACCGCCTCCTCCCCAGGCGCTCACCTGAGCAGAGAGACCGGAGAGAGAGAGACAGACGGAGAGAGAGAGAGAGAGAGAGAGAGAGAGAGAGAGGAGAGAGAGAGAGAGAGAGAGAGAGAGAGAGAGAGAGAGAGAGAGAGAGAGAGATGAGAGAGAGAGAGAGAGAGAGAGAGAGAGAGAGAGAGAGAGAGAGAGAGATGAGAGAGAGACGGGAGAGAGAGACCGGGGAGAGAGCGACAGACAGACCGGGGAGAGAGCGACAGACAGACCGGAGAGAGAGCGACAGACAGCCAGACAGACAGCATGGAGGCCATCTGGCTGTACCAGTTCCGGTTGATCGTGATCGGGGACTCCACGGTGGGGAAGTCGTGTCTGATCCGCCGCTTCACGGAGGGTCGCTTCGCCCAGGTCTCAGACCCCACGGTCGGCGTGGACTTCTTCTCCCGCCTGGTGGAGATCGAGCCGGGCAAGAGGATCAAGCTGCAGATCTGGGACACCGCGGGGCAGGAGCGATTCAGGTTTGGAAATACATATATCATTATACTGGGTTTATTACAAGGTGTTACTCGGTTTTAAATCATGATGTTGCTTTAATATGCCATTAGTTGCACGCACCTGTTTGCCCCTTGAGCTTCATTTATTGTTATGTAAAACATGGCAGCAAAAGTGAAAGTAACAATACTACACTGCAAAAAGTACTACATTTTTTGTTAAGCATTCTACCATTTTATCAAATATATACTCAAAGTATAGGTAAAGGTATTATTATGTTATTAGGTTCCTATAGCTCTTAGAAAGAAGCGTATCCGCATATCTTAATAAGATATGAAGCATAACTCAGTTTTAAGAAAAATATAGTGCATTCTACCATCGTATTTTTTAACTAAATGTACCTAAAGTACGAAAAGTAATGACTCTTTATATTAAAGTTCTTAACATGTTTTGTCAGATTATAAGACCTTTTAAGAGGGTTTATTAGAAACGTATAGGTGGGTGTTCTGAGAATGTAAATCAAAACCATTTGACTTAATGATGATAATTGTTGCGCAACAGGAAGTCAAGCATTACATGTTATTTTCTGGATTTAACACAGAAAGAAGAGCTGACGAATAAAACTGAAACTCAGAACTAAACTAACTTAGTACACAATTCACAGAAATCAGGTCAAGAGAATTCAAAGTGCACAAGTGATTTCTGGGAAATGTAGTTCAGAATCACAGCTAAAAACACAGGTGTCCCAAATAAGGAAATTGTGGTACACAACTTTAATTCTGCTTTTTGGATATTTAATAGTAAAACAGCTGCTTTTAAAGAACTGAAAAGTAGATGAGCTTCTTCTTTGGAAAGACCCGTGGCTGACCTCTGACCTCTCTGCTGAAGTACAAAGATGTATAGAGATTTAAAAGAAAATCCAACTTTACACAGGTTAGATTGTGGACTAGCAACACCATTTTAGTAGATTTCTATATCAGGACTCGCATTTAAAATATCAATCAATAGAAAATGAATTGTATATTCCTCATTCTTCAAAGACATAAAAGGAACTGGTAGTTTGTATCCAAGTATAAGAGATACACCCTAAGTTTTAAAAGAATGGACGTTAATGATATTAAACGCTTCATATTTGAATGATGTAGCCTCGAGGTCTTAAAACTTGAAAAGCTACCTGTGCCTAAATTGTTTGCCCATAAAAAGAGAGAGCAGTTATTCAAACAAGCTTTTAGGTGATACTGGCAGAGAAAACTGCTGGAGGGGTTGATTCTAATTCATAAACACATGACAGTGCTCCTAATAGCCGAAATTAAGAGTGTAAATGGCACCCTACTACTTGCTTTTTTTCACACTGTTAAAAGTATTTTCATATGGTGTTAACGAGATGTTAGGAGACACCTGGAAGGACACCATAATGTCATGATCTCAGCGCTTATATTTAATATTAGTACAGTATTTATAATACAATATATTAATATACTGAATAGGGGCTCTGCACACCCTTGCAGATGTTCCAACTTATAAAAGCTGACTAAATATTTGCTTAAATTGAAAGTAGGCAGAGCTCAAATTGAAATGATCCACATACTGTATGCACCTGCCAAGCACTAAGGACAGTATTGTGATACAAAAGTAGTTTATCCCACTATAAAAGGTGCAGAATGTGTCCAAAATAATTCCTGTTTACTAGGGCTGCACGGTATTGAAAAAAACTGACATTGCGGTTTTTTCCCCCCCTGCGGTATATATTGCGTTTTTTTTAACCTGTTAAACCCCAAAGTCCCGGCGGGTACTTTACTTTTTTTTTCACGACAGTGTCTCAGGGGATCGTAATATTTAAGAACCTATTAATGTGTTATACCAGATTAACGGAAATAATCTCAGCTAACTGACGATACAAACCATTTTTTACCAAAACAAAACACAAGTCTCATAAGAAGCATCTAAATGACCCCTGAGCGAAAAATGCTAACGCACTTTGTCACAGAACTCAAGATAAAAGTACCCTTATTACTTATCGTAGCTGCACATACAAGATATCCAATTAAAGCTGAGGTTCCACAGATTATTTAGGTATATAGTATCATCACTGAGTGATCTGAACTCGGACAGGGGAAGCAAACACAGACATCACAACACGTACCTTTACGTAGCTTCTAGGGGAGATGTCTCACCGTAGCTGTCAATCTGATCAAAAGACAACACGTCTGGCATTAAAACGAGAAAGAAAAAACGCGGCTGAATCGGTTAATCCATAGGTTTTTTCCATAGGCCAAAATAGTTCCAGATGGCAGATGTTTCTTTTCTTCTTGGAAGTAAATATTAATTCACTCCGGTATTGTCCTCCTGTGCCTCGCTCATTTTTTTACCAGTGTTTTGATGGTCTGCAAACTAGCGGGGCGGGGCCTGCTGTGATCTGATCAAGGCAAGGCAAGGCAAGGCAAGGCAAGTTTATTTATATAGCACTTTTCAACACAAGGCAATTCAAAGTGCTTTACAAAAAATGAAAGAGATTAAGAAAATGGCATTTAAAATCAGTCATTAAAAAGAAAAGCTAATAAAATAAACATTAAAAGAAAAAATACATGGATAAAAGTTACAGTGCAGTTTAAGATGTAAATAGTTCAATTAAAAGCAGCGACAAAAAGAAAAGTCTTCAGCCTGGATTTAAAAGTAGTCAGAGTTGCAGCGGACCTGCAGGTTTCTGGGAGTTTGTTCCAGATATTTGGAGCATAATAACTGAACGCTGCTTCTCCATGTTTAGTTCTGACTCTGGGGACAGAAAGCTGACCAGTCCCTGAAGACCTGAGAGATCTGGATGGTTCATAATTTAGCAGGAGGTCAGAAATGTATTTTGGGCCTAAACCATTCAGTGTTTTATAAACCAGCAGCAGTATTTTGAAATCTATTCTTTGACACACAGGAAGCCAGTGTAAAGACTTCAGAACTGGAGTGATGTGATCCACTTTCTTATTGTTAGTGAGGACTCGAGCAGCGGCGTTCTGAATTAGCTGCAGCTTCCTAATAGATTTTTTCAAGAATGATTGTGATTGGTGGTTTGCTGTGCATGCAGGGGAAGTTCTACACACACCAACACATGAACAAATAAGGAGTGAGAGTGACGCGTAGCCAAAACCGGAAGCTGCATACACTCTGGTGGCTACCATTAGCAGCTAACTTTTGTGCTCCGATTTTTACATAAAAATGGAATTATGGATTATAAACAATTGCTTCAAAGCCACAGATACATTATCAACCTATGGATCAACCGATTCAGCCGCATTTTTTCTTTCTCGTTTTAATGCCATTGAACACGTCTTTTGATCAGATTGACAGCTACGGTGAGACGATCTCCCGTAAAAGCTCCGTAAAAGGTACGTGTTGTGATGTCTGTGTTTGCTTCCCCTGTTGCGAGATCGGATCGCTTAGATACTATACTTAAATAATCTGTGGAGTCTCAGCTTTAATCGGATATATTGTATGTGCAGTTTCGATAAGTATCTTTATTTTGAATTCTGTGCTAAAATGCGTTAGCATCATTTTTTTTAAATGAATAAAACCGCACGTCCCTGCGGTGTGAATACCGCGCATGCGCATACCGCGGTTATCGCCATGACACGGTATATCGTTCAGCCCTACTGTTTACACATCATTTTATTTGAGGTATAATAATAATAGCTTGGTTTTATATAGCGCCTTTCAAGGGACCCAAGGTCGCTCGTATGCTTTTTTAGTACCCTCTACGATTCAAATTCAATGATTATGTTAACATTTAAGCCTGTATGATTTGTAGGCAGATATATCTCTGCAGCACCACAATATGTCTTTCAAAATAGTATTACACACGCGTAATTTGCATTTGTCAATGTCAGTGCTGTCAAATGAAGCATCAGAAGAACTGGAAAAATATATCACTTTAGTCAATCTACTCATGAGGCTGTTTTTAATAAAACATCTTTACGCCATTTAAAGGATCCCTAATCCCTAAAACCAAGAGTAAAATATACATAGCGATGTCTTATCATCTAAAATGCAACTTCACACATTCTTGCACACACACTCTCTCACAAACACACACACACACACACACACACACACACACACACACACACACACACTCATCACGCTGACAGAAGGGAACTGGTCTCACCTGTCAGTGTGATTAGTGTCTCCATGGCAACACTGACACACCCCCCCCCCCCCCCCCCCCATCAGATATAAATGTTCCCCCAGAAATGATTTAAACGCGGTATATAAACATGCACCGTTTAAATATGAATGGTGACGGGCAGAGGATGTAATGGATGTATCGCTCGGTGTGAGTTGGAAGGGGAACTGTATGGGTAGAAAGGGAGAGGGAGGGTGGGTTGAAAGGATGGAGACAAGCAGTGGCCGGAAGTGTTGCCGGATATAAATAGGGGTGGCCGTGGTTCGAGGTGGAGTTTTAGGCGTGGCCATGCTCCTGAACCTATGTTAACATTTTAACCTCATTTATTATTATATGTTTGCTTAGAGATGTGAAATATATCAGTAAATACCACACTAGAGGATTCCTGAAGCTGTTACATGGCTTAAAAAAGCGGCTTGCTAACAGGTGGCTAACTGAAATTGCTACACATCGTCCTGTCGAACATTAGCCACCTTTAGCTTAGCGACCTTCATTGATTGATAGCACTATGCTAGCTATTTACTTCTGGCAATTGCACTTTACTTCAGCTATTATAAAAGTGGTTTTAGTATGCGGGCATTATCCTGCTGAACAAAACGTGTAAGTATTATAAACCTGTGTTTGCTACAGAGCTTATTCACTGCAAAAATACGTCATCACTGAACCACTCTATAATAGCACAGACAAGGGTTTTAACTTAAATGTGTCATACATCGTCCCTTCTGCGTCTCTTCTCTTCTGTAATGTAGTTTTAGTTTGGATTTAAGCTTCAAGACAATATACTTTCATGACTGCATTCAAGTTGCCATTGTGACAAAAAAATAACTTATCCAGTAGTGATGTTTCTGTTGGGACTGCTGTAGTTGATGTCTGCCATTTTCTTCCTTCTCCTACACATAACTGCAAAGCCTCTGATCTGAATCCAGCTCATCCCAATATCATCTTAGTCATTGTTTTTCTTTCTGTGTGTTTCTTTCCTTGCATAAATATATATATATATGCGTTTCAGCATTTTTGGATCAAATGAATCACTCGCTGTTTCTGAAATCTTTCCACCTACTCTGCGTCTCTTGCTGTATTTTTCTCCGTCGACTAATCCCCCCCTCTTCGTCTTTCATGACACGTCTGTCCTTCCTGTCTGCTGTGGGAAGATAGATGCATCATGGGGGGGTTGGGGTGCGTTTGTTTGCATGCAGGGTGTCACATCTTGTCAAAATCTAACAGCTATTCTCCTCCCAGTTGGGCTGCAGTGTTGTTTCTGTAAAATCAAACACTTTCATCCCACAGCTCAACGGATAGCAGATTTTTAAAGGTCGATATTGATATTGTTGCAAGTTAACAATGCCTGTACAGTTATTTATTATAGATTAATTGGCAGTGCTGATACAGGGTGTCCGCGGGGTCTTAAAAAGTAAGGCTTAAATGAAGGCTATTAAAAAGTATTAAACGGCATTTTCCAAGGTATCACATTTTGTAGCTTGTTTTCAATAAGTATATAAATGGTCCAAAGAGGTTGTATTCTAGTCTGCCTGAATGTAATCATTGCGTAGGTGTGTAGTGTGATTCTGTGTAGTTTATTGATGGCATCCCGTTGGGTTTGACGTCATCTGAACAGGACATCGCACGCTCACTGCTTGATAGCTTGCGAAGGTCCGTTTACGCCGGTTGCTAAGCAACATCGTTATGAGGAAATGCAAGTCTGCGTCCAAATAGTTGGAAGATAAGGAGGAAGCACAATCAATACTGTGTAGAGTCAATGTGAGGTAAAGTGTGTCGCCAAGGTAACCAGTTAGAACTCCAAGTGGCGATGAGGTCTTAAAATGTGTGGAAAGGGTCTTAAAAAAGGTCTTAAAAGGTGTTACATTTGACTTCAGGATTCCTGCATAGACCCTGTGATATACCATTTCACATTTAGTTCAATTTAGTCAATGCTAGTAGTAGACACAAAAAGTGCATTAAAAATTGAATACATTTAAATTCGTCACAGGAAATTGTCCTTTGAATGAACTGTCAAAGGGCTAGTAATCAGAGTGTAAGTATTATACACATTTAAACTGTGTTATTTCATTTTATTTTGTTCTCCAAAAACATATTTTACACTTTCTTTGGTCCGAAATATACAGTATAATAAACTGACCATTCGTTCCTACATTAAAACCATCTGTTTTCTTTTTTAAATCATCGCAACAAATCAAAACTTGTCTCCACAGTTAGCTAAACGATCATTTAAAGTGTGATCCTTCACACTCCACTGTCAACATAATGTATTCCTAACTTCTCAGCTCCTCCACCCGACACCTCTGCTTCTTTTTCTGTCTTTCACACCTCCTGACATCAGTGTTTCGCTGTGAGAAGCTTTTCCCTTTATCCTGTCCGACTAACCATTTCACTGGATGTCCTTTATCTCTTGTTATCTTCATCCTAAAAACTAATAGCCTACCTACTGTAAGAGAAAAAGTCTAAGAAGCGTATTCATCCGCGTGTTTTTCCTGCTGTAACCTGCAAACGTTAGCATGCATGGCTAGCTAGTTTGCTAACCTAATAGGTTGAAAACACGTAATGAGGTAGCATTACATTTGTCAAAATCATTAGTTGTTCATCATCCATTTCTCCTTAAAATTGAATACATTACATACAAATACAAACACTACAAGCCTAGATCTAACAACTGTCTTTTGTGTCAAAATATAAACGAAATAGGGTTCAATTAAAGTAAAGTTCATCCTACATTTCAGTCCTTTTACTAAATACTAGGACACCTTACGCTGCAATAAGTTGATTTGGTGTACTTGTGACAGGCTTTTCGCTATGTATCAAGTATCCTGTGTTGCCTCTACTTTTGGTCTTTGCCTTCCTCCTCCTTTTTGCACCCCTTCAGGTCCATCACCAGGGCTAAATAAACTAATACCTAAAAGAAAAAGTCTAAGAAGCGTATTCATCTGCGTGACTGTCTGCAAAACCTGCATACGTTAGCATGCACGGCTAACTAGTTTGCTAACTCAATATGTTTGAAAAATGTAATGAGATGGCATTACATTTTTCAAAATCATTAGTGGTTCCTCATTAATTTCTCTTAAAATACAAAATACAAACACTAGCATAAATCTAACAACTTTCTTCTGGGTCAAAGTATAGGCCAAGAAGTCAATTTGATTTGAAGTTGATCCTACATTTTAGACCTAATACTAAATACTAGGACACATCTACGCTGCAATAATTGATTTCATGTATATCTTGTACCGAGTTCATCCCTATGTGTCCAGTGTCTTTACCTTCCTTCCCCTTTTTGCACCCCTTCAGGTCCATCACCAGGGCGTATTACCGTAACTCTGTGGGCGGGCTCCTCCTATTCGACATCACAAACCGTCGCTCCTTCCAGAACGTCCATGATTGGCTGGAGGAAGCTCGCAGCCACGTCCAGCCGCACAACATCGTCTTCCTATTGGTCGGCCACAAGTGTGACCTGGAGGCACAGCGCCAGGTGTGTAAAGTATAAAAGTGAACAAAACAAAGCTTTGTTGAGTTGCTGGGGAAAGTGGCTGTTTTGGATGTTGTGTAATACAGAGTGTTTAAGAAAGTGTGCAGCAGTAAAAATAACCTTGTGTTCACATTTAGATCAAAGGCATTTGTTTGTCGTCTTTGTTTGTTTAATTCTCTTGGGGCAGCTGGCAGACAGAAAGCAAAAATATCACTATGGAAATTAAGACTTGGATGATACTGCAAAACGCTCTGAAGAACAGTGAGTCTAAACTCAAAATGCAATGTTTCAGCAGGGTTCAAAATGTCCAAACTAAGCCACTTCATTCTTATCAGCAAAGTGAACAAGTCTTCATCCAACTAGGAGGGATATTCTGCAAGTTCGAGACAAAAAAAGCTCCTATACCAAGGTGCACTTTGCCTGACATGCACCTTAGCTAACTAAAGAGTTCTGATGAACTAAGTTCTCATGAACCTTTGTGGGAAAAGTACTGCGGTGTGAATGCCATTTTCCTGTGTGTCACAATGACGCATTTCGAGTTTCTTTAATTTGTTGTGAGAAAAGTGCTATATAAATAAACTTGCCTTGCCTTCAGAGGTTTGGTACTAGCTATTCACTGCCCTACCACATTGGGAAGTTTCATCTCATCTCCTTTGGTCTTCTAGGTAACTCGGCAGGAAGCAGAGAAGCTGGCGGGGGCGTACGGGATGCGCTACGTCGAGACGTCGGCCCGTGACGCCATCAACGTGGAGCACGCCTTCACCGAGCTGACCAGAGACATCTTCGCTCTGGTGCGGACCGGAGACATCACGATCCAGGAGGGATGGGAGGGCGTGAAGAGTGGGTTCGTCCCCAATGTGGTTCACTCCTCGGAGGAAGTGACCAAGAGCGACCGCCGCTGTCTGTGTTGATATGGCAAGAGTTTTGGGAACTGAAGATGAAAAGAGGGAAGGGATCCAGGAAGGATTCAGAGGAGAGTGGGCTGAGATGTCAGCCCTCTTGACTTTAACCCTCTGTGGTTCAGACTGGATACGAAAGGAGAGGTTTGAGGACTTTTAATAAAAGGTAAAAACCAGACAAGAACACCTTGAACGTGGGTGGACACAAAAGGGTTGTGCCCATATCTGTTTTATTTCCCAGAGAGGAAGGATAACAGATGCTCATTTACTCACGAGGGCTCAAATTATTTGTTTTGGTTTGGGCATTTTGCTTGAAAATCTCACCCTTAGCATCTTAGAAAGGCCTTAGGAAGAGGATCCATTTGGGTTTTTCGCCAAAATCAATGAGACTAATCTTTCTTTCACATTCACCTCGCCTTCCACTAATCTCTCCTCCAATATGCAATTACATGATCACTTAGGAAATGATCACTTTACGTTGGGGTGCAACATCCTCAGAGCACATATTATTTTAAAAAAGTCAAGTGGGCACCCTTAGATCCCTCGTTAACAAGAGTCTTGTTTATCTTGTGCTGACATTTTGCTCCACATTCCACTATCAGGGGTCAATGGAGGAGTCCTGGAGGGCCTGCGTTTAATGAGGGATTTCCTTTCCTGGAGCTGGGAACACTATTTCAGCAATTAAGGCATCCTGTGAGCTCAATGACATTGACTTCATGGTAATATCCAGTATCATTCTGCTAAATACCGCACTATAATAAAACGTTGTCATCCATCCAGTTCCTAATGGACTCCTTTAGCAGGTTAAGACAACGTGTACAGCTAAACGGACCGAGGTGGACTAACTTACGACACCTCATTGTATGCCTTGAACTGGGGAATTGTTAAGATTGACTAATAGGAGTGTTGGAGCCAGAAAGCACTTTAACAGCCAAGTTTAACTTAACTGTGGAGCCTCGTTTGGGACTACAGACGAACACAGAGATAATGTATTCCTTGAAAGCAAAGAGACGGACCAGACCATGGACTCCAAACAACAAGGGCCACAATATCCACAATGCACGCATACAGGCAATATAATCATGCAAAGAATGTCCAATTGGCGGGCGTTAAATCAACCCAACACAGATACAGGCAGACGGAAAATTACAAGGTTAAACTTTGTCCTGATTCAGTGGTTTACATGCCTTTATGTTTGTGCGCAAGTCAATATCACAAACATTTATTTTCATTTTTAAAATACTTAAATGCAGCAGGTTGATGGTTCATGGTTACTTGGGATTTTGATTTGCCTATCCTTGCTATGATGTCTGTTCTATTTCTTTCTTTCTTTTTGAAATCCATTTATCCACTGTCTTTCCCCCTGCAGCTCATAATTACAGTTACATTTTCCCACACTGTATGCCTTCTTTTTACACGTCTCCAAAGCCTTCTGCTTTATATTTTTACATGAATGTATCAGCAGGGGAAAAGGCGAGGTTTTTACACAAAGAAATGTGTGAACGAGTCAATGCAAAACACTTGGAGAAAAGCGCCGCGCAATATCTTAGAGTGAAATACTTCCAGACATAAGAAAAATGTAATTCAAGTAATGATCTTTAAATTCATTCCAGAAATAATAACACATAAAAGATTTGTGTTTTTGACATTGAATATTGTTTTTTCCTTATAAACAGTTTGCTGTATTATCACCAGTACTGAATACTTAAATACTTTTATCCACAACCACCCACTCGTTTAAAATACCTGCAATAAAATACTCTTGTGTCCTCTATACATCTCTAACAAATATTGTGTTATCCTTATTAATTTGTTTCCCAGTCAATAATGATGTTTGCCTTCTCATATAATATTGTTTTGGGTTCTCATTTCATTTATGAGTCTTTAAATTAACAGTCATAATGCAAAGAAAAGTGCAAGCTGAAAATTAATAGATCAACACAAAAAATAATTAATTATTAATGCAAATATTAAGGTGAGGTGAAGAAATGCTTGATTGAGTTACATTTCCTAATCCGTCTCATGTTTCATGCCAGATTGTAATATCAGACTCCATGACGTAACAATGTATTTTTAACTGTTGTTGAAAACATTGAAATCTTGTCGATTCTGAAAGATTAAATGTTTTTGGCTTTTTCTCTTGGTTCACTGTTAAACGATTGTAATTAACACATCTTAAGTGACAGATTTGAATTATTTCTTGCTGTCATACTGTCTATTTTGTGACATATTGACTGGATAAAGGAAGAGAACAGAGAGAAGTCAGGTTAACCCCAGACAGCTGATTCTAGTAAAACCCAATTCGATCAGTGTGTGAAACATTGAGCCAGCAATTAAACGCTTAAAGACCTCCTTTAATTGAGAGGCCTCTTCTCTCCCAGAAGCTGCTAACTGTCTGCAAGAGGCTGTTAATGTTTTGGCCTCACATGACACAAATACAGTATGTTTCCTTTCAGTAAATCACATGAGGTTTCTGAACTTGAAAGCAGCACTCGTTTCCAGAGGAACTAACTGCACAGGGTGACTTACTGGCACTGCACTGTTCTCAAGAAGGATCTAACTGAGGCTTTCATACACAGAATACATATTACTGCCTAATTTACTGAACATGTCAAGTTAACAGGTCTTTATCAACACACACACAAGCTGAAAATAGGGTGCTGCTGTAACTCTAGTCAAATGTATGTAGAGATTCAGATTGAAAGTCTCATAAGGATTTAGCATTTATTATTTTGTTTAATCTGTACAACAAAACAAGATGTAAAAATGGCATATCTTACTTTTGAAGGGGAATTATGTGCTGGAATATTAAATGAAGTCTTGTCATAGGTAGAGAGTTTCAGATTTTGGACAGAAAATCGCAGTTTACCCGTTTCCAGTCGTCATGCTAAACTAAGCTAACAAGCTGCTAGCTGTAGCTTTATTTGTATCACACACAGTTAGCCCCAAGTTGAGTCCATCATGAAATATTGTTAGATTTCATTTAAAAGGCTTAGCTAGGGTTATTTATGTGACTTAAGTTTATGTTATCTGTAATGCGTGGGGCACAAACTGGGGCTAATTTGTGTTGAAAATTAAGCTAACACTATCAGACAGCTAGCCTAGCAATACAAGTGAAAACAGGGTAAAACGGCGAGTTTCACTCATCCAAACATAGTAAAACAATCCAACTAGAAGCGCCCTGACACTCACTTTTTAAGACTGCTTTAAATTACTGCTTGTGGACCAGCACACTTTTTGCTACCTAGTTTGTGTGCTAATCTAATCTAGCAGACTGCTGTTTGTTGCTTCATATTTACCAACATGCCATTGGTGTCATTTTTTCATATAGAAGCTCATGTGCATTGTCAAATCCTTTAAAGCCTCGTCATTATTTAAAATGTTTTGCCATGTCCATGATGTAAAAGGAAACGTATCTGTAAAGCCTACGGGGGATGGGAAATGAATGTCCATGTTTGTGTGTAATTTCTGGGAGTTGTTAACATTTTGCACATGAAACGCCTCATGACTTTCCAAATTACTCTTTAATTTGACTTTGCACATAGATATGTTTAAAGGGGAGGAAGGGAACATACAGCTGTCTTTTCTACCCTGCCTCTCTGACATCAAAAGCATGAATCTGTTGGGTGACAACAGCTATTCCCTGCCCTCAGTGTAACCCTTCTTCTCACATGAGCCGTGGTACGACAACAACTCATTTATTTTCAACCCTCGGAGATGTACAGACAATATCACTGTCCTCAATCCTGCTGGGTTACATCGGACAGTCTCTTGCTCCGCTCCAGTTATCTCTCAACACACTGAAATGTACTAAAAATAAATAAAATGTGACTTAACTTGTTGTCATTGTGAGTTTTTACACACAAGGTTGTGGCTTTTACCGTTGAGTATTTGAGAGGAAATGTGTTTCATGTAATTTTAAGCCGTTTAAATTAGTCATTTAAGATTTAAAAGTGCTTGACATTAAATAGGAATATCTTACAAGCACACATTTCCAAATGTGCTTGACTTAAAGGAGAGGTGTGATGGCCATTTCCACTGATCATAATTCCATTGTTGAGGTATACTAAAATAGAAAAATACTGTGCAATTTTCCAAACTCACATTGGTTTCGCATATAGCATCTCTTTAAAGCAGGGGTGGGGAACCTTATTCCTCTCAAGGGCCATTTCAATTTTTTCAAGATCCTCCGAGGGCCGTACAAATTATTGACCTCTGCTTAAAAATACTAAAATCACAGCCCATTCATTTGGCCTTTCTTTCATTCTGTACAAAGAAAAAGCAACCTCTCAATCCAGATATTTTACTATGACTCGCGCATGCATGCACGTGCACGGCGTGGCATGACCACCAAAACAGAAAGATATGGACACAAGATGTGTGCAAATGTATTTAGTTTCCTATGCATGGACATGATTTAAGTGGGGGGGGGGACCTAACCTCCTCTAGGGGGGTCCAGGGGCATGCTCCCCCGGGGAGATTTTTTTGTAAATGTTGAAGTTAAAAGCATCAATCTGGTTCACTTTGAGAGCAACATTAGGAGATCTATGGAAACATCTCTCAACACCCAGATGAAACAGAACTGTAAGCAGATTTCTTTTTCTTTATGAATATTTTACAAATCACTCCTTTTAAACTGTATTCTTCTTTATTAATAACAACTTTTTTTTACTGTCATATAGTATTTTATACCTGTTTACTTTATTCTCTTATTTTTGTATAACTATAATGATCATATAAAGATGCGCCTTTAACTCAGTGGTTGTAGAAAAAGCTTCTTATATTCGTTAGCATAGCTAGCTAACCAGATGCTAATAACAACAAAGTTATTGACTGTATGATCAGTATGTCAGATGAACAGATCGCCACTGGGCTTTCAGCTAAAGACACAGCCACGCAACAACTGCGGCATGTGTCCGGCTCCTTATGGGTACTGCAATTTGTGGAAGACCCGGAGCGACGATCTGGTGCTCTCCGTCAGAACTGCACCCCTGTCAGACGAGACATATACCACGTGATGACACATAAGGCTCGTGTTGTGTTCAAGGACCCTGACCTTGGCCAGGAAAAACAGGCACTCGCTTGTTTAATTTTTTTTGCGGTCTAGATTTCTTTAATTTTTTTCTTTTTTGCGTGTGTTTATAAATTACCTCGAGGGCCTTACCAAATGGTCTCGCGGGCCGTATGCGGCCCGGGGGCCGGAGGTTCCCCACCCCTGCTTTAAAGTATGTGTATTCAGCAGTATTCACTTTCTCCACTAAACGGCTCGCTGCCCCCCTTCCCTGTGAGCACAGTGTGCTCCGATTGGTCGGGACCAGTCGGGACATTGTGAATCGCGCTGAGCTCCGTGGAGGTGTAATTTCCTTGTTTAGCGTTACACAGCGAAACACAGCCAAACTCAACCTGAACACACACAAAGTCACAGCCGAAGTAAAAACAATAAGTGTGGCTTGATATTGAGAAAGAAAAAAGTTGATAAACGCTGTGAGAATGGGTCTGCAGAGAGAATGGGTCTGCAGAGAGAATTTCTCCGCGATCCCAACTGTCTGTTATCAGCCTGCAGCCAGGGAGGAGAAATCAGCAGAGCTGCCTGCACTGAGGCTCCGCGGACGTAACGACCCATTTGGTTCCGGCTACCGCATGACCGTATCGCGTCATAGTTCTGGGCGTGGCTACTTGGTGCTTCTACGACACAGCACCCAGGAAGTAAAAAATGGACAATGACGTTTCACCAACGAGGCGTTTTGGGGAGGTATTTTCTGTTTTAGAGTTTTACTCGCTACAGGGTGTACTTTGAGGGTTTTGACTCTGCAGACCGCTTAGATGCATAAAAACCTTCATCACACACAAGGGGACGGGTAATAACCGGAAAAGCATGACATGTCTCCTTTAACTCATTGGTGTTAAAGGATGATACATCAATTAAAATCAATACATAAACAGATATGATTGAAGATAGAATTGTAAAAAAAGTGTTATCTTGTCATGTCACTTTCACGAGAAGGTGGTGGTTCTCTTTTGATCATTAGGATGCAATTACAATTAGCTCCCTCAGTCTTTATCTTTAAACATACTTAGAACAAATGCTTGCTGTGCATTAGTTCTGCACATTACCACTGGGTGGAAGCACTGAGGCATACACTTTGACAACACCATCTGATATCCTAAAAAACTGTCAGAGAAGCAGGTTTCTGCACATTTGTGTTCTGTTAAAATGCTTTCAAATGTTTCCTCTACTAGAAGCTTATTTTGGATTCTCCATCTTAAGTAAGAATCTGCAAAAGGACAAGATGCATGAAAGGAAAATGGTTGATTTTTAGGGGAAGAAGGAAAAGTTATGGAGCTAGAGGAGGAAGCAAAGTACATTTGACTTAATGGAAGAGTACAACAAGCAAATATTTCATTGATATTTTTAGTTTCCATGAGTGAACGTAGATTTAAAATCAGATTTGCAACCCTGTTACTATAATTAAGAGTAATTACAGTAACGTTGTTGCATTTCCTGCAGCTCAATTTATTATCTTTAGTGTTTAAGTAAGCATTATCTACATTGGTGTTAAATATATTACTGTTTAAACCCAGAAGATTGCAACATTATAGTTAGATCAAGAAGTTAATAGACATTATTTAAATTCATTTCTACTAAAGGTCCACCATTGATCGCTGTTAAAAAAGGAACAAATAAAACATCTAATAACATAAGTACGATTGATTCCCGAGCTGGAGGAATACATTTTGTTATGGTTTCCTTCCCGTGTTTCTCAAATACATCAAAGAAAATGTGAAAATAAAGGGTTCATAAAGTGTCCTTAATTTCTTGTATGACCCTTAAATGAAGAATTTGCCAAAATGTCAAGACTTCTTATGAAACCTGAGGAATATACCGTACATATTTAATTGTACGTAAGTTGCTGTAAATAAATGTTGCACTTAAGTACTGATCATGCTTAAATACCACAGGGTTAAAAACCATGTTCTAACCCATCTGTTCAAATCAGAGGAATAAACACACCAGGTGAAGGAGTTTTCTCTTTGCCCAAATGTTCTTCTTTTACTTCATTCATCGTATAGTGAATACAGTGAGACAAATAAATACAGACAGAACAGCGGCTGAGGAGGAGGAGGAGGAAGAGATGGCGGAGTGAAAACTGAACCACTTTGTCATCATCCTATAAGTCTGAATCTACCGAGTATAATGGCAACTGGATGTGTTTCAATAATCAACTCGGGTACAAACAAGTGAGAAAAGGGACAACAACAATAAGCGCAGGTCGGTAAGGAGGGAAAAAGCAGGAGCAGGAAGACGATGCAAGAAAACCCTCATACATACATCTGCCAAAGATAGGAGTAACATACTTAAATCAATCAAAAGAATACAAAAAAATTGCCTTTGTTTTTGTTATTTTTTACTTGAAAAAAATACTTTAAAAAGTAACAAATCAACTGAAAACAGCAGTGGTGGAAGCTTGACGTAACGGAGGGCATATTTCAAATGAAGAGTGATTTAATCTCGATGAGTTAAATCAAACACAACTTTGATATTTGAAATATGCCCTCTGTCCACCGAGCTCTGGGGTGAACACACATGACTTGAAGGGGACTGGGTCTTTATGCGAGTAGAACATAGTTAGCAGACGGGATGTGGACGCTGTCGGTATTAAGACTTTTCTGCAGATTTGAGGAGGTTCTCTTTGCTCCTTCTCTTCACGTCCCAGTTGTAAACTCGTGCCATGTCTGAGGGAGCGGGAGTTGAGGAACGACAGCAGCAGGATGTGGCAGAATCATTCATAATAAAAAACAGTGTTTTACATTTTTATTTTAGAATGTATTGTAGGCAGGATTATGTAAACTGTAAGATCTACAAATACAAAGGCCAGGGTTCATACACTTTTTCACCAATGATTTTCAATGACTTCTCCAGGACCTTTACCTAATTTTCCATGACCAAAAATAATTACTCTTTCTCAGCGTTCCACTGAAAATGGTTTATTTTAACATGGAACAGGAAAATAAGGTCTGCATATGAAACATGTCGTGCCTATCTAAAACAAATCCAATAGTAGCTTACTAGCTACACGCTAACGCAACTCAAATCTCTCACCAGCAAAACACCTCGACAGTTAAATGCCATTTTACGTTTCATTACGATACAGCATTTATCATTATAGTATTACTATTTCGGCGATTGGATAAAATATAAATTATATTTGATGCAACTTTAGTGACATTTCCATGACATTTCCAAAACTTTGGGAAAAATATTGTTTTCCAAAACTTTTCCAGGGCCTGGAATTAGCTTTTTGAATTTCCATGACTTTTCCAGGTTTTTAATGACCGTAAGAATCCTGCAAGACTACATTTTTTTATTTAAGAGGGTTAGGGTTACATTTGGGCTGAAACACTTCATGAGATGCATTGATCAAAGATAATAAAACCACCAGAAATGTTTCAGAAAAAAACAACTGGTTCCAGGTCATTAAAATGTGACGATTGGCTGTTTTTATACATTTTAATATCGACATTGTTTGAGAAAATTGTGATGGTTATTCACTCTGGCATTCATTAATTGACTCTTGAAAATGGGCTGATATTTAAGACAAATTTAAAATCACCTTTAAAAAAGGTTCATTAAAACTGATATTTGTTCCCTTACCTCAAGTATCTAGCCGTGTAGTGTGTACATGTGGGTAACCTGACTCAATTGAGATTTGTTTTACCTAACCTTTAATATATGTTAAACCTTTATGGGGCTTAATGCTTCTGGAACATTTGTGTGTTTTTTTTTACCAAAATAGGAAGACAGTAACTGGGTCCCCCTTACCAGCTGATTGTATCCATCCATCATTGAAGTTTAGCCAGCAGATGTCACCGTTCTCTAAATCAAAAGCTCCTCAACAATGCACCATTTCAACACAAATGCACACCCACCTTCATGGAAATCAATATTAAAACATGAGTTTGTGTTGAAAAATACCTGTAAAAAAAACCACCTCCACAGAACTTAGAATCTGCGGTAAGCCCAACCTGAGTGGACTACATCGTGGAAGGATACTGACTTCGGTGGTGGTGAACTGGTCTCGCAGGAAGTCCAGATCGTCCTCGAGTGTCTCGCAGTTACGAGACGCCGTGGACAGGTTCTTCTCCAGCAGAGCCTGGGCTTCATCGATGTCGTACTCTAACATCACGTTAGCCTTCGGAGGGAAATGTCGGGGTGGGAAGGAGTGAAAGACGAAGAGAGGATTTCAGTTATGGCGTTCTTCGACTTCCCCTCTCCTTTGTCTCAGTAACACAGCTCTCATGCAGGGTCTCAGACCACACATAAGCGCTACTCACCCCTAACCATAGGCACACTTTATCGGTGGGCGGCACTGAAGCCTTGCAGTAAACATTGTCGGCCAACAGGAAGTGCGTGTCCATGGGAGTTTTGGTGTCCTGAGAACAAAACATTATAACAAACGGTCAGAAGGCTGCATTTATAAACACATTTTAATTATTTAGCTGAGCCTGTTTTTGAGAAATGTTTCATTCTAACACAGTGCTTCTCAAAGTGTGGTCCGCGGACCACTGGTGGTCCGTGAGCACCCCCTAGTGGTCCGTGAGTATATTGGTAACATTTCACATTTGAAATAAATACATTTATTTAAGTTTTTCGCACTCTCGCGGGAATATCTCCGCAATGGAACGAGCTTAAGTTTCACTTTCGATTGCATGATATAGCCCAGATAAGCACCTTCATCACACATGTGGCCACTTGTTTGTACAATTTTCAGGCGATTTATAAAAAACGATGTGTTTTTGGATATTTGTGGAGTTAGGTGGTCCGCGAGTGTTTTTTTATTGGTTAAGTGGTCCTTGGTATGAAAAAGTTTGAGAAACACTGTTCTAACACAATGCTCAGATTGATTTACGCTGACACTTGTATCTAATTGACAGCCTTGCAAATGTTTATAAAGAAATATACAAGATCTAAAAAAATACCATTTATATTTAGGTTGTTTTTGCAGCTTATAAATATTTTCTTTTGTTACATTTTAAAGAATGTGAAGCTGAAAAACTAAGAATTTTAAGATAAATATTGGGAAAATTTTGACATTTATCAATCTGGGTTTTTTGGGTCATATAATCCAAACACAGTTTTTAAATAGTAAAAAAAAGAAATACAATTAAATGAAATGCAAGGCAGATACAATATAAAAACATGATTAAATAATTAAAAAATAGCATCAGTTAGGATACTGAGTTTGCTATATTAATGTTAGTTTATAAAAGCAATACACACCTTTTTCTTCTGCATGTGTCGCAGGATTTCTAGCGTCTGTGAGATTTGTGGGATCTGGCTTTTCAACCTGCACATCAAGAAGTAAAACATTTCAGTAAGACGGTCTAGTTTTTTCAGTTATCAAACACTAGTTCCAACTTATTTTATGCGAGTAGGTGAAGTCTCTTTTTGTTGGTGTTACCTGAGTTTCTTCTGGGACAGGTTGAGCTCCATGTATTTGTATTTCTGGTGCTGCTCGTCCAGCTTCCTCAGCGCAGAGTCTGCCGTCTCGTTGCCAGGCTTTTTCATAAAGGAGTCCACATCCTCCTGTAGGACACATCAGAAGAGACGGGACATTAAAACCTAGCCGAGAAATCATCTAGCATAGATTTTAAGTTGGGTCACTTTGAGTTGCCTTAAAACATTTGTCAAAGAGCAGCAAAGGTAGAACGGACCAGGCTCTGTTGGGTACTTCCGATGATATAGCAAAACCATTTTAAAACGACCTCAAACGTTAACATATCATTATAATTTCTATACTGAAAATTGTGCACCTTGGTTAAACAATTCACCAATAAAAAAACTCTTATTTTATATGGGTAAATGTTAAGTCTATATATGAACACTTCAAACGTCATTGTGTCACCAGATCAGGAGGTACATGCTGTATACAGAAAGGGAATGATTAACTGAGGTACTTACAATACAGTACATACAATTTGAGTGAATGTTATTACTTGATACATTATTTTCATGCTTCTTTATACTTTTAGTCTACTACAATGGTGAAACATCTACAGATATAGTGCAATACATTAATGATGCTATCCTAATATCAATCCAAAAACGTCATATATATATATTAGGAAAACACTGACACATTCTACTGTCTCAGTAATTTCACATAATGTTGATAAGTTACTTCTTAATGCATGACGTTAATCTGTAGTGGAGAATTGAAAGTATACTTTTACTTCAGTAACTAATGTCAATGATCCTTCCACAGGATTGATATTTCCTGAAAAAGGGAAGAGGTTGGAGGCAGCTAATGCTAATTGAGTCAGACTGTCATTAGCAGAGCATGTTATTAGGCTAACATGTAGCTAACTACAGTTGTTTAAAAGCTTAGAGGAAAAGAGGTGCAGTAAAATGCAGAAGCAGCTCGCACACAGACTCTGGGATGATGTCCATAGATGGACGTGAGGAGCCGCCCTGCACACACTGCAGGGTTAGCATCAAGCTAACTAGCTCATAGCCAGCATGACGCGCCCACACACAAACCACAACAATAACACTTGTGTTTTCACCCTTCAGACGTGAATGTGGAGTTCTGACAACCTAAAGCAGTACATGCCAGTTTTACGCACCACAAAAATAGCTTCGGGGATCCCGAGATGCTTTTTCTTTGTAGCCTGAACGGCATTGCTGGTATCTATGGTCGCCGCCATGTTGGAGAGAGGCTACACCTTCCTCCTTCTTTACGTACAAGTCTATGCGTCATTGCGTCATTACGTCAAATGCGTAAAACAGCGTAAAGGCAGACCGCAGACTGCTACTATGGTGCTAAAAACCAGAACCAAATGTGGTCCTTCACGACCTATGCTATGTGTAGAATAAAGTGGTGTTTATTGGCAGAGATTTCATGTAATATGAAGTTGAACTATGCTCATTAGTGTATATATAATCACTTAAAACGAATGGCTCACCACTACTACTCAACTTACTATATTATCCATTCATAAAAGTTGCGAATGCTAACTAACTTGTCTTTCATGTCGTGCAAAGAAAAAGCAAGTTTGGTTTTATCTTCGGTGATTCGGAGGTTGATCTGCAGGTAATAATAACAAAGTATATCAACATTCAGGGCATCAAGTAATTACAACGGACTCCAATTCTAGTTAACGACTACAATTGCAGAGGTCCAATGAGATAGATTTTAGTTTAAATTACTATATATTCTCCCCTAAAAGCAGCCTGATCTTTGATTTTAACTATATTTAAATTATTCCAGCATCATGATTGATATATTAAAAAAACTCTAAGGCTTGAGCACCAGGATGCAAAGACAAATGGAAATGTACTGTCTCTGATCCGGATGCAAAGCAGATAGTAAGATTTAAATTTAAAATGTGTTCTCACTGCTTGGACAAATAAAACACATCTGTCTTCAAGCGTTTTGTAAAACTTTATTAATGTCATCACTGAAAACGGTCCTTACATTTGACACTCTTTCAGGGGAAAGGTTGGAGATGCAAACATTATACAATATGTTTGCATCTACTTTCTGGATATTGTACATCTGTTATATAAACTAGCATTACTTAAATATGAAGACACTAATTGAAAGTAGCATACATTTTACAATAATTCTGTTATTTTCTAATGTTTAAATATGTTTTTTTTCAGATATAACATCACCCTAAAAGCACATGTGTCAAACTCAAGGCCCGGGGGCCAAATCAGGCCCTTGGTGGATTTAATTTCGGCCCACAGGATAATTTTTAATTACTATTAGATCTGGCCCGCCGGTATATTGCACGCACACCTTCACTCCATCCTGAGGGTTTCCTCAGCTCAGAGCCCGAGCCCAAACATTGATGACCTTGCACCCAAGATGAGATGCCAAGTATCTGCTTGAGCTAGCATCACAGAGCAGCACACTGAGTTTACATGGATGCTTCCTTCTGCACTTTTCTTCTTGAGACAACAGGGCATGTTTGGTTTTCTCTTTGAGGGAAATAGTTTTTTTGAAGCTGTTGTTGGCCTGTGGGAAAATGTAATCATAAGAAATGACTCGGGGAAAAGCTGCAGATAGAGCCATAAGAAATGAATGCAACTGATTATTTAATGTTGTTTTTATACGTAATAATTTAAGCTTTGTTAGTTCCAGGTTTAATATGTGCAATAAGTTCATTTCAATAAGTTTTGCAATAAACATTGAACCAGTCCGGCCCTCGACTAGTACCCATTTTTTAATGTTGGCCCACTGTGTATTTGAGTTTGACCCCCCTGCCCTACAGGAATATGACCCAAAATCAAACTAAATGTGTGTTTTATGGAACACATTGTAAATCAGGTGTTTCAGTCTGCTCTTGTTTTGAGTTTTCTTCCATCTCTGGAAGCTTCTTCCAGCGCAGTTGAACATCTGTAGTGGCGCCCAGTTTAGTTTCCACCTAGGCATAAAAAGAAAGAGGTATAAAATGCTATATTGAACATATGATCATTGATTTAAAGGGGTTTTGTCAGGGAGGATTTGTGATTTTACGAACAATTGAATGACTCCGTACAAGTTGTCAGGTATTCGTCAAAGGTTAAAATGTGAACAGTCACCGTTTTCAAGATTGAATCCAACACAGCTTGATCCGTCATGTCCACAGAGTCGTCAGCCGTCAGCTTCACTTCAACCAAATACTTTTTCCTTGGCTCTTTAAAAAAGAAAAAAGGGACAATATATTTGCCTATTTAAAGGAATAGTAAAACATTTTCGGGAAGTATGCTCATCTTTACCAAGAGTAGGAGAGTCTATATATATCCTATCGGTTTTGTCTAAAAGTATTTATGCTGCTTTTTATATATGTATTGATGTACAGCACTTTGGTCTATAAATAAAGTTGGATTGGATATGTAAAATATGATATAATGGAAAAATAATGTCCCTATTCCCCTTTAAAAAATCTTAATTTTGTCATATACAATGCATCAGTAGCATTTCTCATCACTACACATATTGAGATGTACCATATCATCATGATATCTTCAAGTCTTCATTAAAAACTCACTTGTTCAACATGGCCTTTGACCCCTAACCCGTCACCGTGCCCCTGCTTCCACTCCTACTGCTTTTTCTATTTGTTTTACCTTATTATTTGCCCTTTTGTTTGTTTGTTCACTATGTAAAGCGGCCTTGGGTCCCTTGAAAGGCGCTATACACAAATGTAATCTATTATTATTATTATATCATACAGTAGGGTTTGATGGCAGAAACGTATTACCAGTGTAGCAGAAGAAGGGCAGTTTTTCAGCACAATCCTTGTCTACTATTCCCAGAGGTTTGCTGTTGACATCTAGTGCGGCACAATCAGCGACTCCCAAGAGTTCCTGAGGTCTCCAGGGTATGAAGGATGGTTCCCTCCCATCGGACCACGCCCAGGACTCTGCATTCAGCCCGATCCATGTCCAGAAGCTAATCGGTAAACCCTGCAGCGCCTCGTTGTCCAGCTGGTTTCTAACTCTGGCCAGGTCTGTGTGCCGCTCCCTGCAGTACGCCTGAGCCGACGCCCAGTCCATGAAGTTGTCATTTAAAACAATCCTCTCAGAGAGATCGGTTGTGGATTCTGCAAATAATAATAATAATAATAATAATAAAGCTTTATTTATATGGCACTTTTCATACAACACATGCAGCTCAAAGTGCTTTACAAAATGACAAATCACAAGTTCAAAACAAACTACAAGAAATTCCCCTCAGATTATTTGTTAAGAACTTTAAAAAGGTACATGCTGCAACATATAAAATGTTATAGACACAAGGAGGTAAAAGGTAGGATAATACAAATTCAATAAAATAAAATAAATAATGGTTTCTTTGGTTTATTTTAAGTGGGTTTTTTAATTTTTCAATGAAATTTAACTTTTTAAACCACTGTGTAATTGTGTTTGGACCAAAGAGCATACTTACCGTTGTAGCAGATGAATTGTCTACGAGTGTTGCATTTGGTAGCAAACCACTCTCCAGTGAATTTTATGACCCCACAATGTGTGGCTCCTTTAGGTTCATCACTCGCCCAGTTCCAGTAGGACGGTTCTCCCTCTTTGTGGTTGTCAGCGTCAGACACTGACCACTCCCAACTTCTCTGCAAACCTATGAAGACGTGTGAGAATTCAGAATCCACGAGACTACCTAGATCCATGAGGTCCTGCTCATCGTTGACGGCGGCCAAATCGGTGTGATATTCCCTGCAGTGCTGACGGGCCTCGAGCCACGTTTTGGACTTGTTGATGAAGTTGTACCGAGGACGATGAAGAGGGAACGCAACGTGGAACAAACCTGTGGACAGGGGTGGAAGAAGTTTTAGGATATTCCTTTAAAGGTCCCATGTCATGCTTTTCTGGTTATTACCCGTCCCCTTGTGTGTTATGTAGCTTGTTCTGCATGTAAACGGTCTGCAGAGTCACAAACCCTCAAAGTACACCCTGTAGCGAGTAAAACTCTAACACAGAAAATACCTGTCTATGCTGCCCCAGAACGCCTCGTTGGACATTTCTCTTTTTACATTGTTTACTTCTTGGGTATAGTGACGTATTTGGGTATAGTGACGTAACGTAACGGCTCCGCAGATTGGTCCAAATTGACCAATCCACGGAGCCGTTACGTTACGTCCGCGGAGCCGTTACGTTTGGACCAATCCGCGGACTTCCTCACACACACACACACACTCGGCGGGACGTTGCGAGGCTCGCTGCTGCGAGGAGTGGGACATTGTGAGCTGTCTCACTGTTGTGGGGTCGGCGAGACAGCGAGGCACCGCGGAACTCAGCCTGGGCACACACACAAACTCCAAGCCAGGGTGTGTGTGTGTGTGTGTGTGTGTGTGTGTGTGTGTGTGTGTGTGTGTGTGTGTGTGTGTGTGTGTGTGTGTGTGTGTGTGTTTAGCTGTGTCTCGCTGTTTGCAGACGGCCACTGGGCTCACAGGGAGGGGGGGGGCAGGAGCTCCAACAAGCCGTTTAGGACAGAGTGAATATACTATACAGAGATGCTGTATGAGAAACCAATGTGAGTTTGGAAAATTGCACAATATACATTTATTTTAGTAGACCTCAACAATGGAATTATGATCAGTATAAATGGGCATGACATGGGACCTTTAATAATATAATAATAATAATAATAAAGATAAGGAAATTGTTGTTCCGGAGTTACAAAAATATAATAAACACAGCAGCATAATAGTAAAACTGTACACTAACAGTGCAGTAAAAAGAGCCATTAAATATCTACAGGAAACATAGACGTCATATAATTATGTAAATATGTAATTATTACCAATATTTAGTAGAAAAAAACGTATTGGCAGATATGTAATTGCACGTTATCATAGTACATTATTAATAATAATAATATTGCACATAGCAGCATTATATAGCAGCGAGTGTTTTGGGTACCACTTTACATTAAGACTACCCTTATAAAGGGTTTATAATTAGGTTATGAATTAGGTTGTAAAAACTTTAATAATTAAGAACCATTTGTAAACCAGTTCTAACATAGTTAGAGCCATACATCAACACAGGCTCACTATTTGGCAAGATGACTAAGCCTTATATTCGCTACTGAGCGAGAATCAACTCGGTGAACAACAGATACCAAGGATGCTAGCTGATGAAGAAGACGAAGTAAGCTAAGTAGCCAATATAAGGCTTAGCAGTACAGATAAATGTGGGCTCACTATTTGGCAAGCAACCGGTCACAGTTGCCCTGTTTATCTCATGTCTTATAAAAGC